TCACACCTTATAACAACTTCTACAGCATAAAGTACTTTCATGCATCCCTCAAAATTTTGTAGGTGACTTTTATCTGCGAGATAATAGAATTCAAATGTTAAATTTAATTTATTCATGCAAAATGGATTGGGCATGATATGCTTGATTCTCCCTGGATTTAATAATCTGAGCCTAAGATTTAATAACTTCTGTCAAGATGTTGATTCCATAAAATAATCTATTAGTTTATATTATCCAAATTACAGACTTTTTAACATAGAAAGAACATTGAAGAATTGTGGCAGGGCATTTGAAATTAATTTCCTTTCACATATTTGAAAATGGGAGGACATGGTGATGATGAAAACAATCCAACCTTAGGCCACATTGTGCCTTGCCTCAGCCTATCGCAAATAGACGTGCAGTAATTCAAATAGACAACCACAGTTCTCATAGCATCAAATTCTAACCAGGAAGGAAATATTCTTTCCATCTCAACCCTACACTATCCCTACAAATTAAAAGATAAATTCAAAACCCATTTTGATGAGTTTAAACAACATAAAGTCTCATCCACAACCACTAAAAGGTAACCCAAATGCCAGAGAAAACTGATACCCTATCCATGCCCAAAAAAATGCAGAAAGATTCTAGCAATTTTACTATGAATCAAATGATTCAATGATATTACCAGTTATACATGTCCCAACACTTGAATGTCAAAAATAATTATTTATATGATCAAAATAATTACATAGGCAAAAACAAATTTGTATGCTGATTTTTAATCATGTTAGAATACTGCATATTTCCCTTCAATTATACACGCTAACCAAAATGCACTTTGTGCCATTTATCTGAGGTAAGTTTGTAACAGAGAAAATTAGTACATTATCTAGGATTATGCAAACACATTATATGGTATTAATTGAAGTCTCAGAAGTAAAACAGGAACAGGAGTATATCAGTATATGATCAACAGCTAAATTATCCAAATTCAAAAGCTTTAATTAGCTTCCATGTTTCTCTTGTATCCAAACAAACATGTACACTTGTCTCAAGGCACGGCTGTATCAATTACAGAATAAAGTACACTGGATTTTAGTTACCTTTAAGACAAGCTCGTCATAGCATTGTTCTACATTCACTCAAATCTTTGCACTGCACTCTATAAAGAGGCATCCATATTCTTGACACCCAACCCTTCCTTTTGGAAATCCGTTTCACTTTCCTGTGAAAGATCACTGATGATTAAATCCCACGCATAAAATAACACTCAAGAATTATTATCCATACAAATAGGTCTGTGAGAAAGTTTCAGATGAACTTGAAATTAAATTGCTAACTGGAGCAAAATGAAACTCAGATACAAACATTAGTCAATCAAACAAAAAATTCAGTACTTCCTGAATCATACACATTATCAACTTTGTTTCTAACAAGCATCTTAATAGATTTGCAAATGTTTCCCACTGTGTAACATCATATATTACCTCAATACCACAAGTTAAAAATACTGCATCAGAATAAATTAACAGCCTCTAAGTATAATTAGCAAGTCCTTATATTTCACCCCCCCAAAAAAAAAAAAAAAAGAAAAGCATTGATATAATAAAAACAGCAAGAGAGGACTCAACTGTAACCAACTAAGAAGTCACCTTTAGAAATCGAGTCAATCTGTCCATGGCCAGAGCAGACATCTTTAAGGGCACACATGGAGACCATCGAATTTGAAACTAGGTGTCAAATAAGAGGCAGGGAAGCAAGGACTGAAAATGAATGGCAAAACCAAAACA